GCCTACCACTCTCCATAGTGTATAACAAATCACTGGCAACAGGGGAACTGCCAGATATTTGGAAAGCAGCTAACGTAGTCCCGATATACAAGAAAGGGGACAGACAGAAGGCACTGAACTACAGGCCAGTGTCCCTAACCTGCATACCATGCAAGCTGATGGAGAAGATTGTGCGAAAAAAACGAGTAAAGCATCTGGAGCGAAGGAACTTTGTAACACAGCATCAACATGGGTTCAGGGATGGCAGGTCCTGCCTCACAGGGTTACTTGAATTCTACGACCAGGCAACAAAAATAAGGCAAGAAAGAGAAGGGTGGGCAGACTGCATATTTTTGGATTGTCAGAAAGCCTTTGATACAGTGCCACACAAGAGGCTAGTGCGAAAGTTGGAGATGCAGGCTGGAGTGAAAGGGAAGGTACTCCGGTGAATAGAGGAGTACCTAAGCAACAGGAGACAACCAGTCTGTGTGAGGGTGAGGTCTCAGATTGGCGAGACGTTACAAGTGGAGTCCCGCAGGGGTCAGTCCTTGGACCTATACTGTTTCTGGTATATGTAAATGATCTCCCAGAGGGTATAGATTCGTTCCTCTCAATGTTTGCCGACGATGCAAAAATTATGAGGAGGATTGAAACAGAGGATGATAGTAGGAGGCTACAAGATGACCTGGATAGACTGAGTGAATGGTCCAACAAATGGCTGTTGAAGTTCAACCCGAGTAAAAGCAAAGTAATGAAACTAGGCAGTGGAAACAGGAGGCCAGACACAGGATACAGAATAGGAGATGAAGTATATAATGAAACAGACAGAGAGAAAGATCTAGGAGTTGATATCACACCAAACCTGTCTCCTAAAGCCCACATTAAGAGAATAACGTCTGCGGCATATGCGAGGCTGGCTAACATCAGAACGGCGTTCAGGAACCTGTGTAAGGAATCATTCAGAATCTTGTACACCACATATGTAAGACCAATCCTGGAGTATGCGGCCCCAGCATGGAGCCCGTACCTTGTCAAGCACAAGACGAAGCTGGAAAAAGTCCAAAGGTATGCTATTAGACTAGTCCCAGAACTAAGAGGCATGAGTTATGAGGAAAGGCTGCGGGAAATGCACCTTACGACACTGGAAGACAGAAGAGTAAGGGGGGGGACATGATCACAACCTACAAAATCCTCAGGGGAATCGACCGGGTGGACAAGGATGAACTATTCAACACTGGAGGGACGCGAACAAGGGGACACAGGTGGAAGCTGGGTACCCAAATGAGCCACAGAGACATTAGAAAGAACTTTTTCAGTGTCAGAGTAGTTAGTAAATGGAATGCACTAGGAAGTGATGTGGTGGAGGCTGACTCCATACACAGTTTCAAATGTAGATATGATAGAGCCCAATAGGCTCAGGAATCTGTACACCAGTTGATTGACGGTTGAGAGGCGGGACCAAAGAGCCAAAGCTCAACCCCCGCAAGCACAATTAGGTGAGTACAATTAGGTGAGTACACACACACACACACACAGAACTAAGAGGCACGAGTTACGAAGAAAGGCTGTTTGCCTGCCTGCACCTCACGTCGCTGAAAGACAGACATGGTCACCACATAGACAATTCTCAGGGGGAATTGACAGGGTGGATAAAGACGGATTATTTAACACGGGTGGTATACGCACAAACGGACTCAGGTAGAAGCTGAGTACCCAAATGAGCTACAGATATATTAGAAATAACTAATCTAGTGTGAGAATAGTTAATAAATAGAATGCATTTCGAAGTGATGTGGCAGAGGCAGACTCCACAGTTTCAAATGTAGATATGACAGAGCTTCAATAAGCTCAGAAACCTGTAAACCCGTAGATTGACAGTTAAGAGGCGGGACCATGGAGCCAAAGCTCAACCCTGCAAGCACAACTAGTCGAGTACACATTCCTGACAAGCCTGACAAAGGGACTTGGGAGAGGATCTGGTCCGCCAGCCCTGGCAAGTAATAAGATCCATTGAAGGTCGAGTGACCTTATTTGTCCTCGAATGCAATTTTGGTTGATTAGTTAAAGAGAACGTTCACCGCAGGATGGGAGGGACCAGAATGTGGCACTCCTTACACTCTTCCTTGGCCAAGAGTGCAATAGTCTCAGGCCAAGATTATACCGATCTGTGGAGAAGCTCACAATGGCACTTTGGCCACAGACGAAGTGCCACTGGATGGTCTGTGGACAAGCTCCCACTGCATAGTCTGTGGGGGCAAGCTTCCACTGTGGGGGCAAGCTCCCACTGTGGCGGCAACAATCTTATAACATATGAAGTAAAATCAATATTTTTTAAAAACATTTCCTCTGATTTTGTGGAGAATTGACGTCTGAGATTTCAGCCTTCATAAAATATTGCGAGGGTGTACTTGATGGATGGCTAGAGGATGATGATTGGTGAGCTGGGGACGAGGGATCAGGTGATTAGTGAGCTGGAGATTAGTGAGCTGGGGACCAGGTGATTAGTGAACTGGGGACTAGGCACCAGGGGATTTGTAAGCTAGGGACCAGGTGATTAATGAGCTGAGGACTAGGTGATTAGTGAGATGGGGATTAGAAACCAAGTGATTAGTGAGCTGGGGATTAGAAACCAAGTGATTAGTGAGCTGGGGATTAGAAACCAAGTGATTAGTGAGCTGTGGACGAGGGACCAGGTGATTAGTCAACCTGGGACAAGAGACTAGATGAATAGAGAGAAAATGACCTAGCTTTTGATAAGCATGTAAAGGAGAAAGAATGTTAGTTTTCTGGCAATAGATGAATCAGATTCAAAGGATCTAGCTGCAGTTTCCCGGGAACCATTTCAGTTTATTTGTGGTACTCAATCAATACCAAATTCGTACTGGAATGCCTGAAGAATATTAGTTTCGTTAAATTGTTTACCAAAAATCCCCCAAAAAATATATTTGTTGAGAATGAAATGCATTTGAATAAGTTGAATTTTGAGACAATGGTATTGTTGATCTTAAGACAATGGTATTGATGATCTTAAGACAATGGTATTGATGATCTTAAGACAATGGTATTGTTGATCTTAAGACAATGGTATTGTTGATCTTGAGACAATGGTATTGTTGATTTTAAGACAATGGTATTGTTGATCTTAAGACAATGGTATTGTTGACCTTGAGGCTGTTGTGGGGAAAACTGACTCGTGGGATTTATATATTTATTAATTTGTATTAATGTATATAGTACTGTAATTTATTTCTTACGTTAATTTATGTATTTCGATAGTGGATTGTATGATAATATATATATATATATATATATATATATATATATATATATATATATATATATATATATATATATATATATATATAAAATATATATATATATTTAATATAATATATTTATATATATATATATAAAAGCTTTATCTGTATTATAGATATGGCCTGGACTATCAGATATGATCAGGAAAGAACACGCCAGTTAGTTAGTTAGTTAGTTAGTTAGTTAGTTAGTTAGTTAGTTAGTTAGTTAGTTAGTTAGTTAGTTAGTGTTAATTCTGCTTCAGGTTGTCGCGGATTACCTGCCGGAAACTAAACATCGTAACGAATGCAAATATTATCATTAATAATAATAATTATTATTATTTTATTATGTTAAGGCTTACTCAGTTTTAGGTGTTTTCATGCAGCATAACCACATTAGTAAATTACATAATGAACTAAGGGCACTACAAATCATTTAGTATAATGTACTATGTTAGTTTTATAATGCCGGTCCTGGATACGACGGTGTCGATTTATGCTCATCAATTCTTCGACAATAACTTCCTGTTCCTCAAGTTATTAAGAGTTCAAAAGACACATTTTAACTGTCTAGGGATAAAATGGCTTCTCTCCTCTCTCTCTCTCTCCCACATCAGACATCTTCTCCCATATGTGTTTTATGAAGTAGAAAGAGGGATTATATTTAATCTATTTTAGAACTGATAAGTTCACTCAAGGGAGGAAATAATTAATAATAATTACAGTCAAGAGACTGATGTTTTAAGAAGAATTTCCACTATTATTAACTGGTGAATTTAATGGTGACATATGGCAATGATATCCCGTTTTCTCTCGAGGAAAATCTCCACTGGAGCCTCGTTTTCTATGAATGATTAAAGCTACTTTTGGGTTAATTTATTAGTACAAAATAACAGTAATATTATCTGTCTATTGTATTAAATGGTGTCAGGTTTTTCTGTCAGCTGTGTTATTGTTGACCTTGAGAGAGCTGTATTGTTGATCTTGACCTCGTGATATTGATGATCTTGTAAACTCGGCATTCTTGATTTTGAGACTGGGGTATTGTTGACCTTCAGACTAGGGCATTGTTTTGATTTTGAACACGTGGTAGTGTTGACCATTAGATATTGCTGACCTCCAGACCATGATATTGTTGACCCTGACCACGTGGCAGTACTGAATTTGACCACGTGATAGTGTTGACCTTCACCGCGTGATGGTGTTGACCTGGATCACGTGGTGGTGTTGGCCTTGATACGGTAACATTGTTGACCTTGAGACCGTGGTATTGGTGACCTTGAGACCGTGGTATTGATGACCTTAAGACCGTGGTATTGATGACCATGAGACCGTGGTATTGGTGACCTTGAGACCGTGGTATTAGTGACCTTGAGACCGTGGTATTAGTGACCTTGAGACCGTCGTATTCTTGACCTTGAGACCGTGGTATTGGTGACCTTGAGACCGTGGTATTGGTGACCTTGAGACCGTGGTATTAGTGACCTTGAGACCGTGGTATTGGTGACCTTGAGACCGTGGTATTAGTGACCGTGGTATTAGTGACCTTGAGACCGTGGTACTGATGACCTTGAGACCGTGGTATTGGTGACCTTGAGACCGTGGTATTGGTGACCTTGAGACCGTGGTATTAGTGACCTTGAGACCGTGGTATTAGTGACCTTGAGACCGTGGTATTGGTGACCTTGAGACCGTGGTATTAGTGACCTTGAGACCGTGGTTTTAGTGACCTTGAGACCGTGGTATTAGTGACCTTGAGACCGTGGTATTAGTGACCTTGAGACCGTGGTATTGGTGACCTTGAGACCGTGGTATTAGTGACCTTGAGACCGTGGTATTAGTGACCTTAAGACCGTGGTATTGGTGACCTTGAGACCGTGGTATTGGTGACCTTGAGACCGCGGTATTAATGACCTTGAGACCGCGGTATTGGTGACCTTGAGACCGCGGTATTGGTGACCTTGAGACCGTGGTATTGGTGACCTTGAGACCGTGGGATTGGTGACCTTGAGACCCTGGTATTGGTGACCTTGAGACCCTGGTATTAATGACCTTGAGACCGTGGTATTGGTGACCTTGAGACCGTGGTATTGGTGACCTTGAGACAGTGGTATTGGTGACCTTGAGACCGTGGTATTGGTGACCTTGAGACCGCGGTATTAATGACCTTGAGACCGCGGTATTGGTGACCTTGAGACCGCGGTATTGGTGACCTTGAGACCGTGGTATTGGTGACCTTGAGACCGTGGTATTGGTGACCTTGAGACCCTGGTATTGGTGACCTTGAGACCGCGGTATTGGTGACCTTGAGACCGTGGTATTGGTGACCTTGAGACCGTGGGATTGGTGACCTTGAGACCCTGGTATTAATGACCTTGAGACCGTGGTATTGGTGACCTTGAGACCCTGGTATTAATGACCTTGAGACCGTGGTATTGGTGACCTTGAGACCCTGGTATTAATGACCTTGAGACCGTGGTATTGGTGACCTTGAGACCGTGGTATTGGTGACCTTGAGACAGTGGTATTGGTGACCTTGAGACCGTGGTATTGGTGACCTTAAGACCGTGGTATTAGTGACCTTGAGACCGTGGTATTAGTGACCTTAAGACCGTGGTATTAGTGACCTTAAGACCGTGGTATTAGTGACCTTGAGACCGTGGTATTAGTGACCTTAAGACCGTGGTATTAGTGACCTTAAGACCGTGGTATTGGTGACCTTGAGACCGTGGTATTGGTGACCTTGAGACAGTGGTATTGGTGACCTTGAGACCGTGGTATTGGTGACCTTGAGACCCTGGTATTGGTGACCTTGAGACCGTGGTATTGGTGACCTTGAGACCGTGGTATTGGTGACCTTGAGACCCTGGTATTGGTGACCTTGAGACCGTGGTATTGGTGACCTTGAAACCCTGGTATTGGTGACCTTGAGACCGCGGTATTGGTGACCTTGAGACCGTGGTATTGGTGACCTTGAGACCCTGGTATTGGTGACCTTGAGACCGTGGTATTGGTGACCTTGAGACCGTGGTATTGGTGACCTTGAGACCGTGGTATTCATGACCTTGACAAAACAACGCCATTCTCACACACAAATTTGTATATGGGTGGAGACTGCAGATTCTGCACCGAGAGAGGATTGAATTCTAAATTAAAAATACGTGTTCAACATTATACCAGCAGACTGTCTGCCTGCTTGCCTGTCTGCCTGCCAGTCTGCCTGCCTGTCTGTCTGCCTGCTTGCCTGCCTGCCTGCCTGCCTGGTCTTCACGAAGCCTCTCACCTTTAAGGTTGCCGTCCAGGGAGCAAATAGCATTAAGGTCTATCCTCTTTAAACTCCGTCGTTGAGGAGTAACCAGAACTGCGTAAGGTCGCTCGGTCTTAGGTCACTTTGCCTCAAGATTACGACGTTGTGGGATTCTTGGGTGACTCAGTTGTTGAGACACTTGGCCGGGTCACCATCTGTGACATCAGCTACCAAGTGCTCAACTTACGCTGGCTTTAACCTTGATTTAATGACCCTGTGATTCCAGCTTCAAGTCTGACATCACTTTCCGGCTGGTGACATCATTTGACCGCAGATAACAGCTGGTTTCTAAGACCAGCTGTCTGGTCACACCAGAGGCATGTTTACAAGTGAAATTCTCCGACACCAGACACCTGTCACACCTGTCAATACCAGAAAAGCGTCAAACACCAGAGAAGCGTCAACACCTGACAGAGGATAGCATTAATGGAACATTTCAGAGCCGATAACACCAGACCTGTCAACATTAGAGCTGTCAACACTAGAAATATCGATATCAGAACTGTCAGCACCACTGCTATCAACACCAGAGCCGTCAACACCCAGAGCTGTTAACATCAGAGAGACGTCAACAAGAGACTCGTCAACACAAGAGAGTCGTCAACACAAGAGGGCGTCAACACAAGAGAGTCGTCAACACAAGAGGGCGTCAACACAAGAGAGTCGTCAACACAAGAGAGTCGTCAACACAAGAGGGCGTCAACACAAGAGAGTCGTCAACACAAGAGGGCGTCAACACAAGAGAGTCGTCAACACAAGAGGGCGTCAACACAAGAGAGTCGTCAACATAAGAGGGCGTCAACACAAGAGGGCGTCAACACAAGAGGGCGTCAACACAAGAGAGTCGTCAACACAAGAGGGCGTCAACACAAGAGGGCGTCAACACAAGAGGGCGTCAACACAAGAGAGTCGTCAACACAAGAGGGCGTCAACACAAGAGGGCGTCAACACAAGAGAGTCGTCAACACAAGAGAGTCGTCAACACAAGAGAGGCGTCAACACAAGAGGGCGTCAACACAAGAGAGTCGTCAACACAAGAGGGCGTCAACACAAGAGGGCGTCAACACAAGAGGGCGTCAACACAAGAGGGCGTCAACACAAGAGAGTCGTCAACACAAGAGAGGCGTCAACACAAGAGGGCGTCAACACAAGAGAGTCGTCAACACAAGAGGGCGTCAACACAAGAGGGCGTCAACATAAGAGGGCGTCAACACAAGAGGGCGTCAACACAAGAGAGTCGTCAACACAAGAGGGCGTCAACACAAGAGAGTCGTCAACACAAGAGGGCGTCAACACAAGAGGGCGTCAACATAAGAGGGCGTCAACACAAGAGGGCGTCAACATAAGAAGGCGTCAACATAAGAGGGCGTCAACATAAGAGGGCGTCAACACAAGAGGGCGTCAACATAAGAGGGCGTCAACATAAGAGGGCGTCAACACAAGAGAGTCGTCAACACAAGAGGGCGTCAACACAAGAGGGCGTCAACATAAGAGGGCGTCAACACAAGAGAGTCGTCAACACATGAGGGCGTCAACATAAGAGGGCGTCAACACAAGAGGGCGTCAACACAAGAGAGTCGTCAACACAAGAGGGCGTCAACACAAGAGGGCGTCAACATAAGAGGGCGTCAACACAAGAGGGCGTCAACATAAGAGGGCGTCAACATAAGAGGGCGTCAACATAAGAGGGCGTCAACACAAGAGGGCGTCAACATAAGAGGGCGTCAACATAAGAGGGCGTCAACACAAGAGAGTCGTCAACACAAGAGGGCGTCAACACAAGAGGGCGTCAACATAAGAGGGCGTCAACATAAGAGGGCGTCAACACAAGAGAGTCGTCAACACAAGAGGGCGTCAACATAAGAGGGCGTCAACATAAGAGGGCGTCAACACAAGAGAGTCGTCAACACAAGAGGGCGTCAACACAAGAGGGCGTCAACATAAGAGGGCGTCAACACAAGAGGGCGTCAACACAAGAGGGCGTCAACACAAGAGGGCGTCAACATAAGAGGGCGTCAACATAAGAGGGCGTCAACACAAGAGGGCGTCAACACAAGAGAGTCGTCAACACAAGAGGGCGTCAACACAAGAGGGCGTCAACACAAGAGAGTCGTCAACACAAGAGAGTCGTCAACATAAGAGGGCGTCAACACAAGAGGGCGTCAACACAAGAGGGCGTCAACACAAGAGGGCGTCAACACAAGAGGGCGTCAACACAAGAGGGCGTCAACACAAGAGGGCGTCAACACAAGAGGGCGTCAACACAAGAGGGCGTCAACACAAGAGAGTCGTCAACACAAGAGAGTCGTCAACACAAGAGGGCGTCAACACAAGAGGGCGTCAACACAAGAGGGCGTCAACACAAGAGGGCGTCAACACAAGAGGGCGTCAACACAAGAGGGCGTCAACACAAGAGGGCGTCAACATAAGAGGGCGTCAACACAAGAGGGCGTCAACACAAGAGGGCGTCAACACAAGAGGGCGTCAACACAAGAGAGTCGTCAACACAAGAGAGTCGTCAACACAAGAGGGCGTCAACACAAGAGGGCGTCAACACAAGAGAGTCGTCAACACAAGAGGGCGTCAACATAAGAGGGCGTCAACACAAGAGGGCGTCAACACAAGAGGGCGTCAACACAAGAGGGCGTCAACACAAGAGAGTCGTCAACACAAGAGGGCGTCAACACAAGAGAGTCGTCAACACAAGAGGGCGTCAACACAAGAGAGTCGTCAACACAAGAGGGCGTCAACACAAGAGGGCGTCAACACAAGAGGGCGTCAACACAAGAGAGTCGTCAACACAAGAGGGCGTCAACACAAGAGAGTCGTCAACACAAGAGGGCGTCAACACAAGAGGGCGTCAACACAAGAGGGCGTCAACACAAGAGAGTCGTCAACACAAGAGGGCGTCAACACAAGAGAGTCGTCAACACAAGAGAGTCGTCAACACAAGAGGGCGTCAACACAAGAGAGTCGTCAACATAAGAGGGCGTCAACACAAGAGGGCGTCAACACAAGAGAGTCGTCAACACAAGAGGGCGTCAACATAAGAGGGCGTCAACACAAGAGGGCGTCAACATAAGAGGGCGTCAACACAAGAGGGCGTCAACACAAGAGGGCGTCAACACAAGAGGGCGTCAACACAAGAGGGCGTCAACACAAGAGGGCGTCAACATAAGAGGGCGTCAACACAAGAGAGTCGTCAACACAAGAGGGCGTCAACACAAGAGAGTCGTCAACACAAGAGGGCGTCAACACAAGAGAGTCGTCAACACAAGAGAGTCGTCAACACAAGAGGGCGTCAACACAAGAGAGTCGTCAACACAAGAGAGTCGTCAACACAAGAGGGCGTCAACACAAGAGAGTCGTCAACACAAGAGGGCGTCAACACAAGAGGGCGTCAACATAAGAGGGCGTCAACACAAGAGGGCGTCAACATAAGAGGGCGTTAACACAAGAGGGCGTCAACACAAGAGGGCGTCAACATAAGAGGGCGTCAACACAAGAGGGCGTCAACACAAGAGAGTCGTCAACACAAGAGGGCGTCAACATAAGAGGGCGTCAACACAAGAGGGCGTCAACACAAGAGGGCGTCAACACAAGAGAGTCGTCAACACAAGAGGGCGTCAACACAAGAGAGTCGTCAACACAAGAGAGTCGTCAACACAAGAGGGCGTCAACACAAGAGGGCGTCAACACAAGAGGGCGTCAACACAAGAGGGCGTCAACACAAGAGGGCGTCAACATAAGAGGGCGTCAACACAAGAGAGTCGTCAACACAAGAGGGCGTCAACATAAGAGGGCGTCAACACAAGAGAGTCGTCAACACAAGAGGGCGTCAACACAAGAGGGCGTCAACACAAGAGAGTCGTCAACACAAGAGAGTCGTCAACACAAGAGAGTCGTCAACACAAGAGGGCGTCAACATAAGAGGGGCGTCAACACAAGAGGGCGTCAACACAAGAGAGTCGTCAACACAAGAGGGCGTCAACACAAGAGGGCGTCAACACAAGAGGGCGTCAACACAAGAGGGCGTCAACACAAGAGGGCGTCAACACAAGAGAGTCGTCAACACAAGAGAGTCGTCAACACAAGAGGGCGTCAACACAAGAGGGCGTCAACACAAGAGAGTCGTCAACACAAGAGGACGTCAACATAAGAGGGCGTCAACATAAGAGGGCGTCAACACAAGAGGGCGTCAACACAAGAGAGTCGTCAACACAAGAGGGCGTCAACATAAGAGGGCGTCAACACAAGAGGGCGTCAACACAAGAGGGCGTCAACACAAGAGAGTCGTCAACACAAGAGAGTCGTCAACACAAGAGAGTCGTCAACACAAGAGGGCGTCAACACAAGAGGGCGTCAACACAAGAGAGTCGTCAACACAAGAGGGCGTCAACACAAGAGGGCGTCAACACAAGAGAGTCGTCAACACAAGAGGGCGTCAACACAAGAGGGCGTCAACATAAGAGGGCGTCAACACAAGAGGGCGTCAACACAAGAGAGTCGTCAACACAAGAGGGCGTCAACAAAAGAGGGCGTCAACACAAGAGGGCGTCAACACAAGAGGGCGTCAACACAAGAGAGTCGTCAACACAAGAGAGTCGTCAACACAAGAGAGTCGTCAACACAAGAGGGCGTCAACACAAGAGGGCGTCAACACAAGAGAGTCGTCAACACAAGAGGGCGTCAACACAAGAGGGCGTCAACACAAGAGAGTCGTCAACACAAGAGGGCGTCAACATAAGAGGGCGTCAACATAAGAGGGCGTCAACA